GCATTTATCTTGTCTGGCATCAACGCAGTTGCATTCGTCTTACTGACAAGGTTCAGCTATGGTGCTAAATAGCAATGTATGTGAATTAATGGAGCGAAACATTCCTGTTCATCGTATGCTTTTTTTTAATATTTTACTTAGATCATTATTAATAAATTATTTTACATAGATCAACATTAATATCTTCATTATATCTCCGAAAAAAACCCTCGATCAGCCAGGGTCCATCAAATTCCGTTATGGGGACTCATTTGTTCCAACATTTTTCTAAAATAATTGAGTTCCCAGCGTTCGGAGAAAAATGCGTTCCAAACTTGCAATCCTTTTTTACCAAAATAATGCTACTTAAGAATATGACACGTTGTGCCATTCACGCAACGTTCTTTTCCTTATCTGTTTTAGTGCATAAATCTAGAGAATCCAGTTCCTAAATTTTTAATGTTTTTAACTGATTGTCGTGTGCTCTACAGTTAAAATTATTTCTTTCATTCAGATTTTTGCTTCATCTCGGCAGTTTTGTCGCTCTTGATCGAAAACGGTGTATGAGAATTCCTAAATGCTCCGACCGCTTTTTTAAAAATTTTATCGTAGTACTATTTGTAGCGCGGAAGAAATTCTGGGTTTATTTAGTGCCAACATCTTTGCGCTGAACGCCTAAGTGATTTAGTTGTAATTTGAACAAAGACAAAGTCAAAATCTACTCTGTATTCGAATCGTTTTGCGAGTGAACGAATAGTGGAGGGAGGGAGTAGCTGCCCCATCGATCCATTCAAACTCATGAAACGATAACGATGCTACTTCGCACTGCTGTAGTGTTGATAAAAAGTACACAATATCAGAAAATGATGGATCTGATTGATTTCAACAGTATTAAGGGTCTGTTTACAAAAACAAATTTTTTAATTGCATCTACTTTCTCTGTCTTTCAAAGCGAAATTTGGAAACTTTCATAAAAATTTAACTGTGGAAATTCTACTGATTTAAATTCAATATTATTTTGCAGACACTAACGTCTCACCAGATACTCCACGGCCAAACGCAACCGATCAAGAGCAAATGCGTGCAGACTATTTGGCTCAGGAATATAAAAATTCTCATTTAAAAGATGATAAAAGCGAAAATGAAACAAATAAGAAATTGACTCATGTGCCTACTGAGGAGAAAACGGAACAACGCAATGAAACACTTTATTTTACTGGAACCCAGCAAGCTGGAACAAGTGATTAATTTTGTAATTACGAAGCATTTTTCCATACTTCAAACCCAGAAGAGTTATTGTCAAACTAGATATTTTGCTGGAAACTTGAAAATTTATCTTAAATAAACAAAAAGCAGATTTCTTCGAGTTTTTAAACAAAATCCTATAATTAAAATACATTTTCATAAA